ATGAAACTTCAGGCAAATGACCTACAACCTGTCTGTGCCCTGCATGGTTTCCTTAAGTATAAATGAAACTAACAACTAATGCCTCCCCAGCCCACAGGATGTTGGACAGAGGAAAGGATTCATTTATTAATAGAGTTCTGTGGGGAAAAGTTAAAAGGACTACATCAATTCATCACTTTTTTAAAAAATTAATTTATTTTTTAGAGACAGAGTGAGACAGAGCGTGAGTGGGGGAGAGTCAGAGAGAGAGGGAGACACAGAATCTGAAGCAGGCTCCAGGCTCTGAGCTGTCAGCACAGAGCCCAACGCAGGGCTTGAACCCACAAACTGTGAGATGATGACCTGAGCCGAGGTCAGACGCTCAACCGACTGAGCCCCCAGGTGCCCCAAGATGTCACTTCTTAATGTTTATTTTGATTTTTCTGTCCAGCACTCTATAGTTTACAGAGCCCGTGCTTGAATTTATCTTATCCTCACAACCTGCAAACAGCCAGTCCCAGCACTAAAAAGGGACACGCTCCCAAAAACTCAGTTCTTTGGACTCCTGGTCTAGTGCTCTTTCCATTGACCAGACACTGCTTCCAGATCCCCAACAACACAGTCCCTCTTGGGCCTAATCTAATCTCTCTCTTCGTTCTAAACTGAGACTTGCAACTCACTTAGGTGGCCAGCTAACCCCTTCTGCCACCCCCTTCCCCATGGACTTCAAAGCAGAGTGTACAAGAGGTTCTCAGGGGCGCGAGAGGAAAACGTTTAAGAAAACGTGCACAGGAGTATTTAACTATGGCAGAAATAATCGTCTAAGTGTCACTAAAACCATCTTTTTCTTTTTTTTTTCCTGAGAGAGAGGGAGAGACACAGCGTGAGCAGGGGAGGGGCAGAGAGAGAGGGAGACACAGAATCAGAAGCAGGCTCCAGGCTCTGAGCTGTCAGCACAGAGCCCGATGCGGGGCTTGAACCCACAAACTGTGAGATCATGACCTGAGCCAAAGTCGGACGCTTAACCGACTGGCCACCCAGGCGCCCCTAAAACCCATCTTTTAACACAGGGATCGACCTAGCGCTCTGGGCAGCGTATCAAGCGTGTCCAGGAACGAGCAGAAACGCCACACGCATCCATTTTCTCTATAACGTAATGCCCTCCGCCACACAAAAACAGGCCTGTTAATTGCTACAAACTTGACAATTCTGAGTAAAGACACAGAGAATGACCATGAAAATTCTCGTTCTGCAGAGATTCACTGCTTATCTCCAGGGAAGCGGCCAAGAAGAGACACTGGGTACAGAGGAGATTCTCATTTTTAGTTTACAATGTCCTGTGCTGAGGCCTGGTGGCAAGTGTACTCACACTTATGTTCAAAACCACACAACGACAACAAGAATCCACTTAATCTGTCCCTTCAAAGTGAACACGACAATCAGTGAGTGAGAAAGCCATTGCTCTTCTAGAGAAAGTCATGCATATGGAGAAAGCATTTTGAAAATGCATGAGTGCAAATGGATCCAATATTTTGATTTTTAAAATTTATTTCTTGGGGAGCCTGAGTGGCTCAGTCAGTCGAATGTCTGACTCTTTATTTTGGGCTCAGGCCATGATCTCAGAGCCCTGAAATAGAACCCTTCATCACACTCTATGCTGAGCTTGCTTAGGATTCTCTCTCTCTCTCTCTGCCCCTCCCCCTCAAACATGCACTCACATTCTGTCTCAAAATAAACATTAAAAAGTAAAATAAAATTTATTATCAAAAACAATGTGTGTCACCTGTAAAGCTTTTATATATATGTATAAACAGACATATACACACATATGTACATACTTTATCAAGTAAACTCTATGCCCAATGTGGGGCTCAAACTCATGACCCCAAGGTCAAGAGCTGCAAGCTCAACCGAGTGAGCCAGCCGGGCTCCCCATCACCTATAAAACTTTTGTCTGCACACTTGAGAAACTAAGACAGAATTTTAAAATCTGTTTTTAAAACCTAAATGAAGTTTCTTAGTGGGTTTGGGCCCACTTGTTAAAAACATAAAATGCAATACCTTTCAATCATTCAAGGACTAATTGACTTAAAATGTAAATTTACTAACCGAATTTCAATGAAAACCTTTGTATCATGGTGAATGGGCTGGAAAATGAGTCATAATTTAATAAATGCAATCAAGGAGGCGCGTCTTCCATTTTAATCTACTCTTTGACAAGGATGTCTTCCAGTTATGACTTTCACTAAATAATTTTCACTATAACGTATGATTTTAAAAATGTACTTCATCTTTATTTCCATCTTTCCAGATTCCTACTCTAGGGCATGTTTTTTTAGGGTATGTAATAAGATGCACGTACGTAACTGTTTTAAAATATTGCATATAGGGGCGCCCGGGTGGCTCAGTTGGTTAAACCTCCGACTTCGGCTCAGGACTTCGGCTCAGGTCATGATCTCACCGGTTCGTGGGTTCCAGCCCCACACCGAGCTCTGTGCTGACAGCTCAGAGCCTGGAGCCTGCTTCTGATTCTGTGTCTCCCTCTCTCTCTGACCCTCCCCTGCTCACGCTGTCTCTCTGTCTCAGAAATAAATAAAAAACATTAAAAAAATTTAAAAAAATAAAATATTGCGTATATTAAGAAAGCACGACGGGACGTGCTTGGCCACCCAGGTTGGTCTATCAGCACCTAGAAGTGTCCACATTCGGGAGCATCACCCTCGCAGGTGGTGCAGGAAAGGAATAAGCAATAGGACAGTAGCAGTCTGGCCCGTGGGCTTCAGAGGCGGGCAGACCACCTGTGCTGGGGACTTCTGGCCTGGGCGGAGGTGGAGACGGGTGAAGGCTGCTGGGCTTTCCTTTATTTGTCAACTTGTACTTGGTATCATTTAGGGGAAGCTCCCGGATTATTCTAACCGTCAGCCGATGCTTACTAGTTTTTTCCTCTCGCTACCGGGTGAGGCTGCTGGGGTCGCCCCGCAGGCTCCCGCCACGCTGCTCACGGACGTGTGTCACTGTGTCACGGACGTGTGGGTAAGTACCCGTGCACCGCACCCGTACCCCCCCGCCCCCCCCCCCACGATCAAGGTGGTGTGTGGGGGGGAACACACAGCACCGCCTGCGGGGTGTTCTACAACAGCACTTACCTAGGCCAGAAGACAGCAGCCCCCAGTCCTGAGGGAAAAGTTTCCTTTTTATCCTATTTTTAACTGTAACCCTAGGGACCTTCCGACCCATGTCATGTTACTTGGAAAGATTTAGGAACCGTGAGTCTGCGAGACGGGTTGTGGAGCTAGAATTGTCCCTGAAAGGCTCTGCCACCGAGTTCACAAACGCTGCAGAGCTGGTGCCGAGGTCCCCAAACCCAAGGGCAGCGGGAAGAGCAGGGGGTCTCTGCCCCCGGGGGGGTGGGCGTCGGGGACAGGGAGGCCACCACCCGGGGACAGTCTGAAGAGCTCCGGGCACCCTGGGAGGCCGCAGAGAGTTTTGGAAAAGAAGATGCGGACAGAGGTGGAGACAGGGTGAGCAGCGGCGGTGGGAGCGCCCGGGCGGGAGGAGGGGAGGGGGCGGCGCGCTGCCCGGGGCGAGCCGGGGCCGGGGCCGGGGCCGGGGCCGCGCGGCCGGCGGGCCGGGCCGGGCAAAGCCGGGGATCCCGCCGCGCCGCAGGCCGGCTAGGCCGCGCGGAGAGAGGGCGGCGCGTGAGGGGCGGCGGGGCGCGGGGGGAGGGGCCGGAGGGGGGAGCGGCGAGGACGGCCCGGAGCGGGGATGGGGGCGAGCGGAGAGGCGGACCCTGAGGAGAGCGGGGGAGGGGCTGAGGGAGGGCCCGGAGGGAGGGCGAACAGGAGCGGGGTGTGGGGGGGGGGCCGGCCCGGAGGGGGGAGGGGAGCGGGGAGGAGAACCCGGCGGGGGGAGGGGCCGGGGGAGGGGCCTGCGGGCCGCGCCGCCGGAGCGGGGTCGGAGGGGGCGGCGCGGGCACGGGCGGCCGGCCGGGCCTGCGCCCGAGGAGCGGCGCGCCGAGGGGGAAGGGCCCGGAAGGAGCCGCCGAGCCGCCTTCCGCGCGCGCCGGGCCGGGAGGCGAGGCCGCGGCGGGCGAGCGAACGGGCGGCGCGGGGGCCGAGGCGAGCCGGGGCCGGGCGGCCGCGGGCCGGCGCGGAGGAGGCCGCAGGCGGGGCGGCCGCGGTTGATGGCGGCCGGGGCCCGGTTGGCCGGCGGCGGGCGGCGGGCGCGAGCCGGCGCGGAGAGGCCGGGGGTCCGGCGGGCGTGAGGCAGGGGGGCGCCGCGCTGCCGGGGAGGCGCTCGCTGTGCGCCATCGGCTCATTGAGGAAATCTCCAGACCTTTCGCGGAAAGGCTTCTTTTTTCCCTTTTTGCCAAGGACGTCGGTGAGCGCGGCCCCGGCGGCGGGCCGGACCTGAGCGGCCGCCGCGGCGCGCACGCCGCTGCACGGTGGCGGCGGCGGCGGCGGCGGCGGGGCCCGGCCCGGCTGGGGTCCCCGCGGCGCCGGCCGGCGGGGCTTCGGGGGCCCGCGGCCGCTCTGCGCGGTGAGCGCCGGCATGCCGGGGGCGCCTTCTTCCTGCGGTCCGCGCCCGAGCCCGCAGCGCCGGCCGTGAGATTTGTGGTCGGGCTTTGGGTTTCTGAGAAGGTCACAGCTTTTCCTCTTTTTCTTTCGTTGCTTTTTTTTTTTTTTTTTTTTTTTTCCCCTCCCTTTTTTGGAGGGGACCGGGGGCCAAGAAAGGACAGCATGCTGGCTGGCGCGAGTAGAGTGGAGCCTCCGTTCCCCGGGTCCTGAGAGCCCAGCGCGCGGCANCCGGCCCGGCTGGGGTCCCCGCGGCGCCGGCCGGCGGGGCTTCGGGGGCCCGCGGCCGCTCTGCGCGGTGAGCGCCGGCATGCCGGGGGCGCCTTCAGTCAGGGTTTCTTATGTTGAACTTGGGTAGCTTCCGTTAGAGTTGTGGTCGGCCTTTTGGTTTCTCAGAAGGTAAGTGCTTTTTCTCTTTTTCTTTCCGTTTTTTTTTTTTTTTTTTTTTTTTTTACCCCCTCCGGCGGGGGAGGGGACCGGGGGCCAAGAAAGGACAGCATGCTGGCTGGCGCGAGTAGAGTGGAGCCTCCGTTCCCCGGGTCCTGAGAGCCCAGCGCGCGGCACCCGACCGTCCGGCCGCGAGCGGGGAGGCCCTCCTCCCGCCTCTCTTGCACATTGCAGCCCGCCGATTCGGCCCCGACCCAGACGTCCACACTGCAGGACCCTGGCGGCGCCGACACGCTGAGAAACCATGAGTGTAAGGTTGCCCCAGAGCATAGACAGGTAGGTTTGCCGGTGATGTGTTTTCAACACTTTCTTAAGGAGAGGCTGGGAGGGAGGGAAGGAGGGTGAGGCATTTGGATCGAAGGTTGCAAAGCCCGGGTCGGGGTGGGAGCGACGGTCTCGGGGGACCGTCCCGACGCGTGTGTTTATGTTTCCTGTGTGTGTCCGCGTCCTGATTCCGTGTTTTTCATATATGAGCAATAAAGCAGCAAAGCCGGGAGGGGAGAGAGAGGGGCAGGGCCCCCATGAGCCTTTGACTTTTGCCTTGCCACTGGCTGATTTTGAGCCCCTAACTCGCCAGTTTAGGGGGCGGGAGGCGGCACGAGCCTGGTCACGTGAGTCCCCGGGGTGGATCGGGCCGGGCTTTAGGTATTGAGCTGCTGGGGGAAGGGCCCTGGCAGGGGCGTGGGCCTCCGTCTGCTGGTTGCTACGGAATGGTGGGCCTTGGTGATGGGGTGGATTCCATTTCTAGAACGAGGAGGATGTTCTTGGCCCGACTGATGGGACAGAAGCACCCTTTGCACCCATACAGGTCTGGATTTTTGCCAGCGGCTGATAATGGCCCCCCCCCCCCCCCCCAAGATGCACAGGGCGGGTTAGAATCTCTTGCTCTCCAAGCTTAGTGTTTAATAGGAGTCCTGCCTTCTGGCGCATGTTCTGGGTTTGATCTTCCAAGTAGTTTGTTAAAAGCCTGATTCTGCAGGATGGGCCTGGGAGTTTTGGGGCTCAGGTCGAATGGGCAGAGGCCCCGCCCTTGGGGTCTGAGCCTGCCTCGCCCCCCACCAGCCTCTACTTCATTGGTATCACTGCAGTTTACAACTTGGTGAGGTGCTTGCCTCCCCTGCCCCCCAGCACTTTCTCCTTAAGAATCTTGACAGAGGGCTGCCTTGTGGGTGCTGCACACATCTAGCTGGACGGACAGGTGGCTGGAGGGCTGAGTGCTGGCCTGGAGACCTTGTCACTGGAGCCGCAGGGTAGAGCAGGGAGCGGTGGTGTCTTCATGCCGGCTAACCTGATTTTCCGTGCTAATAGTAATTTCTTTCTGGCTGTGGAACGCGGCCTAAATATACTCTGCCCCTCCCAGACACTCCTCTCTGTGTTGTCCTGGGTCCTGTTTGTTTATTTATTTAAATTACGCTTTGGGGCGCCTGGGTGGCTTAGTCAGTTGGGCGTCCAACTTTCACTTAGGTCATGATCTCGCGGTTCGTGGGTGCGAGCCCTGCGTCGGGCTCTGTGCTGCCTGCCAGCTCAGAGCCTGGAGCCTGTTTCAGTCTATGACTCCCTCTCTCTCTGACCCTCCCCTGCTCACGCTGTCTCTCTCTCTCTTTCTCCTAGAAATAAATAAAACATTAAAAAAAATTTAAAAAATAAAAAAAAGTAAATAAATTACGCTTTAATTTTTAAGAGAGAGACACACAGAGTGCGAGGGGGGAGGGGCAGAGAGAGAGGGAGACACAGAATCCGAAGCAGGCTCCAGGTTCTGAGCTGTCAGCACAGAGCCCGATGCAGGGCCCAAACCCACAGACTGTGAGATCATGATCTGAGCTGAAGTCGGACGCTTAACCGACTGAGCCCTCTAGGCGCCCTTCCCAAGTCCTGTTTAGATCAGTTCAGCAGCGGCTCAGCTTGGCAGTACCCCACCCGGGACCTGACTTGGCAGTGGGTGGCGGCGGGGAGGGGGCCAGCCACAAAGGACATAAAGTGTGTGCCCTTTTCCCTTGTTGTTGGGCTCTCGTAAAGGCCTGAGGTGCGTCAGGGCCGGGAGGTGACATGGTTACCGCCTCTCTTCATCCTGCTGGAGTTTGGGACTACGTGCACCTGCCTTTTGTGAGATTTGAATGGTGAGCGATTTCTCAGAAATCAGGGATGTGAGCAGGTGGAAACTCAGGCTTAGGGGTACAAGGAGGAGGCCATGAGGGTTCCCGGGCTGATCCCCACCCCCACCCCCGCTGCTGGGAGAGTGTGTACCTTCACAGTCTTGTCAGGATTCATACAGCACAGGACATCTTCAGAGCAGGATCTCATCAGAGTCTCACAGTGTTTCTTTTTTTTTTTTTAATGTTTATTTATTTATGAGAGAGAGAGAGTGAGAGACAGCGCGCGAGCAGGGGAGGGTGGAGGGGCAGAGAGAGAGGGAGACACAGAACCTGTAGCAGGCTTCAGGCTCTGAGCTGTCAGCACAGAGCCCGACGCGGGGCTCGAACCCACAGACCGCAAGATCATGACCTGAGCTGAAGTCGGATGCTTACCGACTGAGCCACCCAGGTGCCCCAGCCTCACAGTGTTTCTGAGAGGCAGACAAGTTGTAGGTTATTATTCCCATTTCACAGAGGAGGTCATTGAGGCTCAGCGAGGCTATGTGGCTTGCCCAGTGCTATCTTGCTGGACTAGTGGCAGAGCCTGAGCCCAGATGCAGGTCGTCAGACCCAGGCTCTTTTGCTTGCCCCCCGCAGGCCAACTGGGTTTATGAATTGGTCCTGTGGAATGTGGCGTTAGTCTCTCTTTTTGACGGTAGAATAAGATGCTTTTCAGCGTTCCCTTTGCACTTTCTTTTTTAAGGTTCATTTATTTATTTTTAATTAATTAATTAATTAATTTTTTTTTAAATGTTTATTTATTTCTAGGAGACAGAGAGAGAGACAGCGTGAGCAGGGGAGGGTCAGAGAGGGAGTCACAGACTGAAACAGGCTCCAGGCTCTGAGCTGGCAGTCAGCACAGAGCCCGACGCGGGGCTCGAACCCACGAACCGCGAGATCATGACCTAAGCGAAAGTCGGACGCTTAACCAACTAAGCCACCCAGGCACCCCTATTTTTAATTTATTTTTGAGAGTCTGGGAGGGACAGAGTCGAGGGCGAGAGAGAGGATCCCAAGCAGAGCCCCACATGGGGCTCGATCCCATGAACTGTGAGATCATGACCTGAGCCGAAATGAAGAGTCGGATGCTTAACGCACTGAGCCCCCAGATGCTCCTCCTTTTGCACCTTTTAACAGTCTTGGGGTTGACGCAAATTTCTGTAGTCAAGCACCGGTTTCTCCTATGGAGTAATGTACCTTTGCAGACTGAGAGGCTTCCTCACCGCTGCCCCCGCCACAGTGCTCATCCACATCACACCTTCCCTCCCCCTTAGGATGCAGGCTCATTCTGCTGGACCCTTGATGTCTCAGGTTCAAGACTCTGGATTTTAAATAATTGATGATTTTACATCGCACTGGAGGGATTGAGCGGAAGGAATGCTCCAGATTGTGGAGTCAGGGATTTTCTTGTAGTTTATCCATGTGCCGGGTAGAGCGGATCGGAAAATGCAAGCACGCAGTCTATTTGGGGAGTAAGGGAAGGGTCCCAAAGACCACGGGACAGCGACACTAGACTACTGTAAGCCCCGCACAGGCAGGGACTGTCTGCTTTGCTCAGTGGCACACCCAGCGCCTCACGCGGACTGAGCACAAAGCCTTCAGTACCTGTGTGATGGGTGATGGCGGGAATGGGCGAGCAAGCAGAAATTTGTCCATTTCCGGTCTTCCTGCGTTCCGGGGTTGATTTCCCAGGTGGTCGGTGCAGGGTCAGAGCAGGCTTCCTACGTGGCGTGTATTTCCCAGGAGACAAACCACGTGGCAGAGGACCACGTATGTGGAAAAGAAGCATGACCCAAAGTAAAGAGCCTCTGGAATGGGCAGAGTCTTTAACCCTGCCTTGAGGACTGACACCTGGGTCCGTAGGAACGAGGCGTACTTGTGACTGATCTCCGTCTTTCTGTACTCTTTGCTTGTGGCGGACACGGGCCCCAGCCCGTGCTTGAGCCCCTGTCGGTTTTTGCCCGCGGACACAGTCTTTCGAGAGTTTCTGAAGATGTGTTTAGTGCTGCAGGCAGAGGTGAGGACGCTGAATTTGTTTTATGGGAACAGTAATGAGTTTTGCTGAGCCGTCTTGATCCTTCTGCCTCGTCTCCAGTGGCCGGGTGGGTTAGGTGGCTGTGTCCGTACAACAGCTTTCCTCCGCATGGGGGAAGATAGTCCTTGTGAGGCCAGCACGGACAGGGAAGTACGAGAGTTAAGCCAAGAGGTCCTGGTTGGAGCCCTGGCGTTCCCCTTAACTCTGTGACCTTGGGCAGGTCACAGGCCTTCTCTGATTTCCTCATTTGCGATAGGAGCGGTCACTTATATGCAAGGCCTTCTGGTTCACAAACATTTTCACGCCATGTGTCATTTGAGGATTGTAACATTTATTGCATCTCTCTCATGGGGCTGTTGAAAGGAGCAAATAAGATAATGTATTTCAGATTGCTTTCTGAGCTGTAAAGCCAAATTCTAGGCGGTGAACTCTTGAATTTGATTTAGCATCGTGCAGTACTTTGTGAGCCAGCCCAAAACAGATTTTTTTTTTTTTAAATTTTTTTTTTTAATGTTTTATTGATTTCTAGG